CTCATGAACACAGTAATAAGAGTGTTTTAAACACCTAGAAGTGCACACACGTACCACATTAATTAGACAGTATAGGAGCGCACTTGAGGGTGATGACACTCGTGGGAGTGGCTAGGGGGGGGGGGGGGGCGAGGCTACACCACCAGGCACGCCGCTCCACTATAACTAGGTTATTAAACACCTGTACTCCCATTTTGCCCCGCTCCTGTGCCACGTAAGTTACGGGCTCACCATAGCCTGTGCTACTTGGAACTTGTTCCGAGTAGCTGAATCTATAACAACAACAAGAACCTGTACTCATTTGTCCCCCACAAGTGGAGGGCGGCTCATAGATGCATCAACGCCTTCACAACCTTTTATTACTTATATTCCTAATGGTATCGTACGACATACATATATATATATATATATATATATATATATATATATATATATATATATATATATATATATATATATATATATATATATATATATACACACACACACACACACACACGTCAACTCACACAACAGAAATATGACAGTCAAAAAACGCACACATTGCAGTCACTTTGTATTTCGGCAAGGCCCGAAATCGTCTGAAGATAACCTCAAGATAACCTAGTTGTGCTTGCGGGGGTTGAACTCTGGCCCTTTCGGCCTGCTTCTCCACATACACTGTGCGCGCGCGCGCGCGTGTAGGCAAGCAAGGGGGGGGGGGCGAGAGGGGGATAAGAGAGATAGAGAGAAGACAAAACAGTCCATACAATTCATTACTGTGAGTTTAGGTTATTAATCCCGCCAGGCGAGAACACAATTCCCCTTAGGAACGAGGAGAATCAGGCGCCAAGTGTGGACACCGCGAGTGAGGAGGACAGCTAACATCCATCTCCAGGGAACACAGTCAATGACTTTGTTTTGCCGGCTCCACCAGACCTCCTCACACTGCAATGCGGTCAGCAACGCCTGCGTGTCTCTAGCCACAGTATCACTTTGGAAACACCATCGACCACCTTTGCGGAAATTGAAAGACGATTTTGACACACTGATTGTTAATTGTATGTATAGAATAGTGATTGTAGAGGTCTAATGTTTACAGGGAGAAGGATGGTGATGAGGTGCCTCACCTGACAGTGATAATGGTGTGACTGACCTGATTGATAATGGAGTGACTGACCTGGCAGTGATAATGGCGTGACTGACCTGACAGTGATAATGGGGTGACTGACCTGACAGTGATAATGGCGTGAGTGATCTAGCGATGATAACAGCTCCATTTTGAGAGATATCAAAGATAATCAACAAAATAAAGTGAATAATTTATAGGCTATTAATTTATAAGACCAATCACTCATTTGAATAAGTATTTGGTCAAAATAGCAGAAATGGACAGTAAAGGTGAAGTCAATATAGCTGGGCGTTTTGATCTGCCAACACCAAAACGGGTTGAGTTACGTGTTCCAACTTGAGACAAAGTTTATACAATAACGTTATCTTGAGGTTATCTTGAGATGATTTCGGGGCTTTTTAGTGTCCCCGCGGCCCAGTCCTCGACCAGGCCTCCACCCCCAGGAAGCAGCTCGTGACAGCTGACTAACTCCCAGGTACCTATTTACTGCTAGGTAACAGGGGCATTCAGGGTGAAAGAAACTTTGCCCATTTGTTTCTGCCTCGTGCGGGAATCGAACCCGCGCCACAGAATTACGAGTCCTGCGCGCTATCCACCAGGCTACGAGGCTCCGTCGTGCTTGAAAGTGCTTGTTCCAAGTGCGCGGAGGGTTCCAATTGGTGGAACAGTGGAGGGTAGGGTGGTGGTGGTGGTGGGGGGGGGGGGGGGGGGTTAGAAATAGCCTAAGCTACTCTATCCCTTTGAGATGTATTTTTACTTGTCTCAATAAACATACTTGAATTGGTTGATGTTTATCAACCAGTACTGGAGAGGCAAATGTCCAGGACTTAAACTACTAATGATGTGTTTAGCTTGAGAATTCGTAAAATAGTGTTTAATATCAAACCAGTTACAGAGTTTCAGATTGTAAAATTGCAAGTTTTCATTTACACATTTGAATTACATTATCCATGAACATGAAATGAATGGAGACTGGAAAACGTTTAGGAGTGCATAAATGATCAGAAATTTGTCACGTGCCAATACGAAATGATATAAAAACTGGTCTATTCAAAACTACATAACAATTTGCATTGATACAGAAAAAACATTACGTTATTCTCACGAGATTTAGCAAATAGCTATGGGTCGTATTGACAAAATTACGACAAACGCTAAATAATAAAATAATAAAATTATGCTTTTAAATGATAAAAGCTAAATAATAAACAAAACTGAATCGTGACACCATTGAGCATATTTGTGGATGCATCACGTAAGAGGAACAGCTTCCCGAGCAGACACTTCCACCTGCTTGATGCCTGCTTGACAGGGTTCTGGGAGTTCTTCTCCTCCCCAAGCCCGGCCCGAGGCCAGGCTTGACGTGCACACACCACGCCACAACATAACAGGGAGAACAGGGGATCTTATAATCTTCGGCCATCAGTTTAACTTCAGCAGCTGGTAAGCTGATGAAACCGGTTATTTATAACCATTTAATACAATATTAAGTCATTATTAGTTTAACATTATCACCAGAGCTTTCAAAATTAAAGTGCATTTCATAGACGGTGATATATTAAGTCGATTTGATAACTGGTTATCTGGGTAAAGATTGTGTTCTTCTAATTGGAAATGAGGCAAGTTATCTGAAGGTTACAAGTGTAGCGCCACAATGATGATAACGTTACAACAGACTTGCGGACTTAAATCACCGAACTTAACTGGTCTGATAACCAACAGATGCGCATTAGTGCCGACAAAGACACAGTAATATCTATTGGAAATACGAATTAGAAGACAAACCCCAGGATGCAGGAGTCGAGGCGAGACCTTGGACTTGTAGTGGCTACTGGTCTCAAGCCAATTAAATAGTACACTGAGCCTGTAAACCCAATAGAATGTTGGGTTTTATAAGGAGACATTCTGAGTTTCGATCAGATCTTTACTCTGTACAATTAATGTTGTTCTGGTAACGTTCTGGTGATATTGGCATCACCAAACTACAATGGTGTTACCAGCTGCCGGTTGACCTTTGGTGCCAAGACTTAGGTGAGGTGACAGGTCAAGCCGAGATCGAGATGAGGTGACATGTGGTTACGACCTGTGAGGTGACAGTTTGTATTGAGAGGTGAGGCGTGACACAAGGGCGCAGAGAGTACTGACAGCGTGACACAAGGGTACAGAGTACTGACAGCGTGACACAAGGGTACAGAGTACTGACAGCGTGACACAAGGGTACAGAGTACTGACAGCGTGACACAAGGGTACAGAGTACTGACAGCGTGACACAAGGGTACAGAGTACTGACAGCGTGACACAAGGGTACAGAGTACTGACAGCGTGACACAAGGGTACAGAGTACTGACAGCGTGACACAAGGGTACAGAGTACTGACAGCGTGACACAAGGGTGCAGAGTACTGACAGCGTGACACAAGGGTGCAGAGTACTGACAGCGTGACACAAGGGTGCAGAGTACTGACAGCGTGACACAAGGGTGCAGAGTACTGACAGCGTGACACAAGGGTGCAGTGAGTACTGACAGCGTGACACACGGGTACAGAGAGTACTGACAGCGTGACACAAGAGTACTCACAAAGTGACACAAGAATGCAGAGTACTGACAGCGTGACACAAGAGTGCAGAGTACTGACAGCGTGACACAAGAGTGCAGAGTACTGACAGCGTGACACAAGAGTACTCACAAAGTGACACAAGAGTGCAGAGTACTGACAGCGTGACAAGAGTGCAGAGTACTGACAGCGTGACACACGGGTGCAGAGAGTACTGACAGCGTGACACAAGGGTGCAGAGTACTGACAGCGTGACACAAGGGTGCAGAGTACTGACAGCGTGACACAAGGGTACAGAGAGTACTGACAGCGTGACACACGGGTGCAGAGAGTACTGACAGCGTGACACAAGGGTGCAGAGTACTGACAGCGTGACACACGGGTGCAGAGAGTACTGACAGCGTGACACAAGGGTACAGAGAGTACTGACAGCGTGACACAAGGGTGCAGAGAGTACTGACAGCGTGACACAAGGGTACAGAGAGTACTGACAGCGTGACACAAGGGTACAGAGAGTACTGACAGCGTGACACAAGGGTACAGAGAGTACTGACAGCGTGACACAAGGGTGCAGAGTACTGACAGCGTGACACAAGGGTGCAGAGTACTGACAGCGTGACACAAGGGTGCAGAGTACTGACAGCGTGACACAAGGGTGCAGAGTACTGACAGCGTGACACAAGGGTGCAGAGTACTGACAGCGTGACACAAGGGTACAGAGAGTACTGACAGCGTGACACAAGGGTGCAGAGTACTGACAGCGTGACACAAGGGTGCAGAGAGTACTGACAGCGTGACACAAGAGTACTCACAAAGTGACACAAGAGTGCAGAGTACTAACAGCGTGACAAGAGTGCAGAGTACTGACAGCGTGACACAAGGGTGCAGAGTACTGACAGCGTGACACAAGGGTGCAGAGTACTGACAGCGTGACACAAGGGTGCAGAGTACTGACAGCGTGACACAAGGGTGCAGAGTACTGACAGCGTGACACAAGGGTGCAGAGTACTGACAGCGTGACACAAGGGTGCAGAGAGTACTGACAGCGTGACACAAGGGTGCAGAGTACTGACAGCGTGATACAAGGGTGCAGAGTACTGACAGCGTGACACAAGGGTGCAGAGTACTGACAGCGTGACACAAGGGTACAGAGAGTACTGACAGCGTGACACAAGGGTGCAGAGTACTGACAGCGTGATACAAGGGTACAGAGAGTACTGACAGCGTGACACAAGGGTGCAGAGTACTGACAGCGTGACACAAGGGTACAGAGAGTACTGACAGCGTGACACAAGGGTGCAGAGTACTGACAGCGTGACACAAGACAGTACTCACAAAAGATATGGTCTTCCTGGGCGGGCGGGGGTCGACCTCGGCGCTGGTGGTGGCAGTGGGCCTGAAGGTGGCAGGGTCGTCGAGGCACTTGGCGGGGGCCACGTGAGGGCCTCGGGGCAGCTTCTCCGGGTCGCTCACGTGCACGTGCAGCTGCACCTCGCCCGTGGCCAGGTCCACGTGCAGCGTGTGCGTTGACCCGTCCACACACTCCAGCGGGTCGCTCGACGGGAACTGTTCACTGACGTACACTTCGGCGGTGGCGGGGCACACCGGGCACTGCCCACACGTCTCGTCCAGCACGCCCACCCTCACCCCACACCCACACGCGTGGCCCACGCCGCCCACGGCGCCCACGACCTCCTCCTCCTCCTGGTGGGGCCACTCCTCGCTGCTGACGTCATCCCGGGGGTTCTCCTGAGGCTCATGAAAGGCACTTGGGTAGCAGTCGGTGGAGCCACTGTGGGCGTCCGCCGTGCGCGTGGGCGTGTACGCCTCCGTCGGCGTCGGCGTCAGCGTCTCGGAGGAGGCCAGGCTGGCGGGCTTGAAGATCACCTCCGGCGACGCCTCCCATACTCGCTCGAACTCGCTGAGGTCCGGGAGGGCGGGTGCTCGAGGCCAGGCCTTGCTGCAGCTGTTCCGTCTGAACACGGCCGCCTGCGCCACCTCCGGGTCGCGCCCACCACCAGCTGTAAGGCCGCCGCCGCCGCCGCCCTCCTCGTCAGCCGTGACATTTAGTGCACCACTGGACCTGCGGCGCGGCGCCCAGTGTTCCGTCTTGTGCTTCACCCCTGTCATCTGGCCGAGCTGACGGGTGACGCCGCCGTCGGGAGACTCCTGCTCCCGGGCAGGTGGTGCGTCTCCGTCAGGCGAGGCGCTGCGGTGCCTGGTGGCGAGGGGCGAGGCGCTGCGGGAGAGGTTCCTGGTGTGCAACACGGAAGACAAGGCTGGAGCGGAGGAACCATGGCGGGCAGGGCGGTGTTGGTGGATCCTGTGACCCGCGTCATCACTGGCCGAGACCTCCTCCCTGTGAGGTAGCTGGTTGGTGTGGAGGTCGTCCTTGGAGGTGTGAGGGTTCACCTCACTATGGGACGGCTCTGCCACCATAGCGGGGGTCAGTCAACCCCCGGCATGCCCCAGAGGTGTCCTACATGCCCTGCTCCCCTCCACACCACCACACCCGCCACCTTCTCTCCACACTACCACTCTCACCTATCAACTAACTGCCTCGGCAGGCACCACCACCTGGCTCTCTGCGCTACACTACCACCTGCTGACACCAGCGTGGCAAGTGTGGTCGTCGCCCACCCGCTGACAGCAGCCTGACAAGTTAGTGCAGTGAGCAGCCGGGTGCCGAGAGTCGTGCTGGCCAGCCAAGATAGAGCGCGTCCGTCCCCTCCCAGCACTCCACTACTACTGAGCCCAGAGGCCGCCTGGCGCCTCCCACCCTCACCCTCCACCACCACCACGCCTCAACTTTTTGTATTTATTTATTTATTTATTTATTTATACAATTCTTACATTGTTGTAAAGCCACAAGCACGCACAGCGTTGCGGGCAGGTCCTTAATCCTATTTTACGACCTGCAAAATCGTTTAACACAACCAGGTATCCCTGGTTCTGTTCACTGCTGGGTGAACAGAGGCTATAGTTATGGATTGGTACCAGGTCAATCCTCCCTGGCCAGGATACGAACCCAGGCCAAAGAGCTCGCGAAGCGCCGGGCGATTGCTTCACAACTCCGCCACGGGGACTTTCTTTTAAACTTAACACTATACTTTAAAATGAGAGATTTGTAACAAAACTATCGCTTGATTTAAGAGCAAGAAGCAACGGGGACAGGTGAAGGCTCTGGATGACACAACCCGCGGAGGGAGGGAACATGACAACAACATACAAGATACTGCAGGAAAAGGTAGGCACGAGAAACCTCCCTCAACTGAGAGAAAACACAACAAAAGCATTCAGGTAGAAGCAAGAAACAAACGCGTAAAAGTAAGAAAATATTCGTATTCCTCCAGAGTGCTTACCCAATAGTTACCTACAAGGTTACCTCGTGGGTAACCATATTACCTTGCCAGCCACAAGGTAATATCACCTTGACATGGTGATACGGTCTTTTAAAATTGCTTTTGTCGCATTTAGTTCCAGATTTTTTTTTGTTTACCTTGTCAACAGTTAGCAGTATGTGGCCTAATGTTTCTTCTGCCCACCTTCCTACGCGCACCCATAGTCTCTGCACACTCATTCTTTGGTGAGATATCTTGTGGAGTTTCTCACACAGCTTAGTGTTGAGTGTGAGAACATCCCCTTGACCACAGGGGCGTGCCGGTGAAAACGTGGTAGATAGAAATGCGCGGGAAGATAGAAACCTGGACCTCACGCCCTCCTGGTCCCTTTTTAGTTATGTTGTGGTCCGAGGGGCGAGTTTATTGGGCAGCGTTACTCATCCTGTGAGTGAATATACTGCCAGTGACAGTATTGGGCAGCGCTAATCATTCTGTGAGTGCCAGAGGCAGCTCTACTCACACCGAGTGAACACACCACCATGGCAGCATGTACAACACTGCCCGATAGGAAGAAAACCCGCTGGGTTGTTCATCCTGTCACTTGTACCCAGACACAGCTGGGACTTGCTTAAGTGTCTCAAGCGAACAGCTTCTTAAACAAGATGATTAACATTTGTCAACTGATGTTAAGAACAGCTAGGTAAACACCGCCACCATTAACAACACACACATGTAATCAACGAAACTCCTCAAGTTCCCTCTTGAACTCTTCTCTCTGATCAACTTACCTATACATACCTGCTTGATGGGGTTCTGGGGGGGGGGAGTTCTACTCTCCAAGCCGGCCGGTCGGCCGAGGCCAGGCTTGACCGGTCTCGTGGCTGTTGTTATTGACTGGCCTCGGGTCAATAAGAGCGGGTCACTGCAGCACTGGTTCTCCTGCAGTTGCATGCACAGTCGCCCAAGGCAGGTGTGACCTTGTTGGGTTACCCCGCCTGGACCTGCCCTTGGGTGCCACGCTCGATCACTCCCCGTCACCAAGCATTTATCAATAACCAATGCTCCACTTCCGCACTTAATGTCAAGTTCACACGGCATCATGCATTTAACACGTTATTGATCCAAGTCTAGTGCAGTTACCAGCACCCGGCAAGGACACCACAACCGTCCCTGCGGGCGGATATGTGGGCCTGCGGGCCGCTCCAAGCAACAGCCTGGTGGACCAAACTCTCACAAGTCAAGCCTGGCCTCGGGCCGGGCTAAGGGAGAAGAAGACTTCCCAGAACCCCCATCAAGCAGGCCCCTTAAAAGTGTCATTATACGAGAACTCTTGGATGAATTTGAAGTAGAACAGTGCAAACTAGAACTAGCAGGTCCATTGTTTATCACAATGAAATGTGTCAAGTAAAACACGTGTATGAGGCATACACGTGTTTTAGCATATAAGCATTTATATGCTAAAAAATGCTTATTTATATGCTATGCATATTTAGTTTACATTTAGCATTTAGCATAAACGGGCATATAAGTAACAACATCAGCAGACTAACAGACGTTGGTACAGCTCGAATAAGACTTGGCTACAGGTCTCTCTGGTAGTTGGGCTTGTATAGGGATCTAGATGAAGTAAAGTGTAAAGTGTGTGGACAAAGACAGGGACACACACTCGAACACTATATCTTGGAATGTAGTGAAATTGAGCCATTTAGAGATAAATCTAAGGTCACGCTGTATGATATGGCAACCTATCTTATTACCATGGATAAATTACCTGAAATCCTTGCACTACAGTATATCCATATTACGCTTCCAGTAGATAAACGACATATGAGATTAAGAAACAAGTAGTGTAGTGGTTATCTTGAGATGATTTCGGGGCTTTAGTGTTCCCGCGGCCCGGTCCTCGACCAGGCCTCCACCCCCAGGAAGCAGCCCGTGACAGCTGACTAAAACCCAGGTACCTATTTTACTGCTAGGTAACAGGGGCATAGGGTGAAAGAAACTCTGCCCACTGTTTCTCTCCGGCGCCAGGGATCGAACCCGGGACCACAGGATCACAAGTCCAGTGTGTTGTCCGCTCGGCCGACCGGCTCCCTGGGTCGACTAATAATAATAAAGAACAGATCTCCCATGACCCTGCAATATCTCCATTGCTAAAACAGTTGTGTATTACCGAAAAAATCCATCATTAATGTATAATGATTAACTATAAATACATAGCTACTGAAGTGGAACAATATCTGTTACTAACAGTATAATTGTAAGGTGTAAAGGATAGATGTAATTATTAATGTAATAATCTCCATTGAGGGCTGATAAAAAACCTTTTGTGCTCTCTCTAATCCTTTTTCTTCGTTACCGCTCACAGGATGAGTGATGAGTACACAATGAATTAGCAGCCTCCGGCGACAACACTCATCAACCACTCCGTCACCTGGGATCACCGGTCCCTGGACATGTACAAAATACACGTCTGTGAATGGGGGGGCACAAATCCCCAATGAACACCTATTAGTGGACCCCTTAGTTCTATTAGTGGACCCCTTGGTTATATTAGTGGACCCCTTGGTTATATTAGTGGACCCCTTGGTTCTATTAGTGGACCCCTTGGTTATATTAGTGGACCCCTTGGTTATATTAGTGGACCCCTTGGTTATATTAGTGGACCCCTTGGTTATATTAGTGGACCCCTTGGTTATATTAGTGGACCCCTTGGTTATATTAGTGGACCCCTTGGTTATATTAGTGGACCCCTTGGTTATATTAGTGGACCCCTTGGTTATATTAGTGGACCCCTTGGTTATATTAGTGGACCCCTTGGTTATATTAGTGGACCCCTATATCCAAGGGGTGTGGGAAGTGTCGCCCCGACGGCACTTTGATAGTAATCTTGGGTATAACTATTTGATGAAAAAGTATCATAACTTAGAGAAAAAAAGTTCACTGTATTACCAAGATGAAGCAAGTGCTATAATGTTAACACTGTGGTAATGCCTTCACCGTTACGGTGTCGGAGGTGTGGCAAACTGATAATTCCAAATAAACAACTTGGTGAGGTTGGCCCTCGCCAGCAACACGCCAAGCCTGCAACACGTCAAGCCTGCAACACGTCAAGCCAGCAACGCGTCAAGCCTGCAACACGTCAAGCCTGCAACACGTCAAGCCTGCAACACGTCAAGCCTGCAACACGTCAAGCCAGCAACACGTCAAGCCTGCAACACGTCAAGCCAGCAACACGTCAAGCCAGCAACACGTCAAGCCAGCAGCAACATTCCTAATTAAACCTAGTTAACGTGACCGTTGGCCCAACAAGAAATACCAGTCATCAGCCAATTTCCTACCATATTTCCAAGCCAGCAACCCTCATATGTCCCTAATACAATGATTCTTAAGAGCTGACTAAACCAAATACAGCATGCTTCACATATTGGTGTAAATGAGTGGGAGAGAGTGCAAGTGGGGGCGTGATGCTGGTCCCGGCAAGCACGCCAGGAGCACCACTGGGGAGTGTTGTTGTTTAACAGACACGTTGTTATGGGGCGCGAGGCAGGTGGTCGTGACCAGCCCCAGGGACCAGTGTGGGGGGGGAGAGAAGCACTCACTATACTGAGCGTAGACGCCACTATTATTACCTGGTGGCAGCCCTGGTGGCTGGCCTGGTGGCAGCCCTGGTGGCAGCCCTGGTGGCTGCCCTGGTGGCTGCCCTGGTGGCTGCCCTGGTGGCTGCCCTGGTGGCAGCCCTGGTGGCTGCCCTGGTGGCTGCCCTGGTGGCTGCCCTGGTGGTTGGCCTGGTGGCAGCCCTGGTGGCAGCCCTGGTGGCTGGCCTGGTGGCTGCCCTGGTGGCTGGCCTGGTGGCTGGCCTGGTGGCAGCCCTGGTGACAGCCCTGGTGGCTGCCCTGGTGGCTGCCCTGGTGGCTGGCCTGGTGGCTGGCCTGGTGGCTGGCCTGGTGGCTGGCCTGGTGGCTGGCCTGGTGGCAGCCCTGGTGACAGCCCTGGTGGCTGGCCTGGTGGCTGGCCTGGTGGCAGCCCTGGTGGCAGCCCTGGTGGCTGCCCTGGTGGCAGCCCTGGTGACAGCCCTGGTGACAGCCCTGGTGGCAGGCCTGGTGGCTGCCCTGGTGGCCAAGATGCTGGTGCCCACCCAACCATTGTGGAGCTATTCACTGCCTACTACTTATGCACACGAGGGCTCCTGGGTCTCGTTACTGCCATTGCCTCAGCCACTGGCAAGAGGTCTTCAAGGACAGCTCACCAAGACCATTACCCACATTTTCTAAACTTACTGCTACTATTATTAGCCCTTACTATTACTCCTATCTGACCATTTCCACTTAACATGCAAAAATAGCACAACAAGATGCGCGATAAGATCAAACAACACAGCCACCCGATCATTTGTCCTGATGAAGAGCCAAGCTTTTCCTGCG